ATTGGTCATCATCGGCAATTGGAATCTTCATCATCTAGTCCATCTGGTGTGCTCCACCTGTGGGCGACACGGCTGCTTTGCCACAAATTGGCGAACTTGGCACAGCAGAATAGTTTTATTTGTTTTTAGTCAATCCGACATGATATGCATGTATATATGTATGCATATTTGTATATATCTATGTTATGTATGTTCTGACCCTGTTTGATCCTCTCCGATTTGATTTTGTTCCGTTTTATAATTTTTTTTTTTTTCGATTAAACAGACCGGTGCGTGTTCTCACCGCGAAAGGGGAAAACAGAAATCTCTGCCTCGGGGGGGCGAAGATGCTTATCGTCAGTGGGTATCCGCAGGGAAATAGCAGCGAACTTGCAACGGACTTCTTGCAAGCTGTGTCGCACCTCTGAGGGCATCTTTCCCTGTTTCCATCCCCTGCCGAATCCCTCCAATTCGACAAACGTCTTGCCAGCATGGAGGAACACTTGTTCAGTTATGAAAACATATTTAGGAACAAGGACCTAAATATTGATGAGGAGATAAGGCAGAAAAATCAGAAGGAAAGACGACCACCTAGTGAGGATTCGAACGTGCCGCCGGAGGATCGAGACCCGAAGGATGAGACCGCAAGCGGTTTTGACACAAACAAGTTGATAATCGAACGCGATGAGGAGGGCTCTTCCATCCAATTGGGTTCAGCCGATGAAAGGAAAAAAGGGGAGAAGGGTCAGGAGGCGGAGGAAGGTGATACAAGTCCAGGGGGAGAAGGAAGGCCCAGCAAGGCTGACTGCAAGAGGGATCCAGCAGAGCCGGTGGAAGAGGAATCCACGGGAGTGGCGAACGTGATGAACGCGGCTGACGTGACGACTGTGCCTCACGTGGCAGACGCCATCGTTCACACGAACAGCCAAACGGAACCCCAATCCAAGAAGAAGGTAAAAAACGACATATCGTCCCTCTTTGCAGATTCGGCCTCAGAGGTGATCGGCGCAAGGGGGGAACCAGCCAGTGACAAGAGGGAATTTAATTTTTGGTTTTCTGGAAAAGGAGCCACGCCACGGGGAGAAGCGGACGGGGAAGCGAATGGAGAAGCGAACAGAGAAGCCGACGGAGAAGCGGACGGCGAAGTGGCAGAGGAAAACGAGACGCACGACAACCGTTTGACGACCCCACGTGGTAATAATCCAGATGGGGCAACCAATGTGAAATGTAAAAGGGGCGAGGATCGTGGCGATTGTGTAATACAAGAGGCTCCAAATGGTGTTGATGCCTCCATCGGTGATTCCAATGTGGAAAAAGAGATTCGCGGGGATGGGGGAGAGGTACCGGGTTTGACTCCTGAACTAAGCAGCAGTGACCTTGTTGGGGAGGTAAGCCACCCGGATCGCTTCCAAAATGGGCCTAGTGAGAAGGGGGAAGATGCTCCCAGGGGAGACACGTCAAAGGCGATGAGGGGGGAAGCGGCATGTTATAATGCGGCAGATGGTAACACGGCGGATCATAACGCGGCGGGTCATAACTCGGCGGGTCATAACTCGGCAGGGGACGCCACCCCCACCGTTGCCGCTAGCACCGCTGCTCCCACCGCCCTATGCTTCGGAACGAACGGGACGTTTTGCTACACCCGGGGGAGCAAGGTGAAGTGCGCGCCGCTGATCTGCATTATAGAGAGCGGCATTCGCAGGAGGAACGACGGTTCGAAGGGCCGCGTAGCTCCCGCACCCCCGTCAAGCAACCCCTCCGCCAAGCATAGCAACAGCATTGCCATCCGCAATAGGAGCCTAGAAGAACACGTGTACGCGATAAGAAACTTCCCCGGACCATTTAGCAGGAGGACCAACAAGGTCGACAAGAAGGTAATCAATTTCCTATATGGTCATATGAACCTAAATGAAAAAAGATATGGGACCAATGTCTATGAATACACACAGAAGAGTTGCCTTTACCAGTACTTTCTGAACGTTATGAAGAATCCCCATCTGCTGCAATTTAACTTAAAAGACGTGCGAGTGGATACGAGCGGTGCAAGTGGTGCGAAGGCACATGCGGGTGACAAGCGCAGAAATGTTGTGTCGTACTTTGTGGAGTCGTCGCGCCAGAAAGGGGAGGGCATGAGGAACAACACAGGAGATCCTCCCCACAGCGGGAATGGCTACCCAAGTGGTCCAAGTGATCAACCCGATTGGCAGCACGACTGGAGTGGAGACCTCCGCGCAAGCGAAAAAAACCCTCGAGAGGAATCAGGCGATCAAGAAAGAAGAGACAGTTTCTCCGATGTTGACGGGAAGGGGGCATTGAAGAATAACAGAACGGAAATGGATAAATTTGAGATAACAGGGAAGGATACAGCAAAGCGGGAGTGCCCCGGTGGGGGAGACATCGACGATGATGGGGGGGTGTACCATGGGGATGATGGCGGGCTCTACGAAAGGGATGATATCAGTTGGCGCACAAGTGCGTATTGTAGAGAGGTGCCGCCCTTCACCCCAGCGGTAACATGGCGTGATACAAACCCAGGTGAAAAAAAAAAGAAGAAAGTATCTGTAAACAACCGACAGTACACATTCAACGATTTGGTGGACCCATACTTTATTAATGCATTCTCCAAAATGGGGATCAAAGAGAAAATCACAAGAGAAGACATATACCTGGAGTATTACCACCTGTGTATATATAACAGTGAGAAGGCAGCCAGGCTATGTCTGGAGAAAAATCTATTTAGACATTTCTTCCTCATTTTAGACAAATACAATGATGAAAAATATAGACTCATGCTTAGCAGGTACATAAGCCACATGGACAAGAGTATGAATCACGACATTGAGATGACTGATGGACTGAAAAACATTTTTCGGATTTATAACCCCAGCGTTCACGACGATATCGTTAAGGAAGCCTTTGTCTTTTTAATTTCTCTACTTAATCGGGAGAGCATGACTTTTGACAGGACTCTCCTAATCGATTACTGGTATTGTTTCTATGTGCTGATTTATCATAACTTCCTTTTTCAGTTCGAAGAGAATGAATTTAGCTACGACGAGTACAAAGAAGACATTCACCGATTTTTTTCCTTCCTAATAAAACAGCTGTATGTGCACGGACGTGTGACTGAATCGCAGTTTCTCTACCTGCAGTTGTGTGGCAATCCCTGTGTTTTTGAAGTTGCAATGGAGGCGCAGCAGTTGGAGACGCAGCAGTTGGGGACGCAGCAGTTGGAGGGATCCCCATTGGACTCACGCCCAGTGGAGCACCCACTCTGGGGAGGCCCCCACTTTGATGTCCTCACCTTCCAGATGTGCGAAGTGATAGAATACCTTAACAGATCCAATGAGGACAACTTCTTCTATGAAGACCTAATCAGACAGAAAATTAACTACGCCTTTACTCTCCTAGAATTAGGGGTTCTAGAACAAGCCAAAAGCTATATAGAGATTATATACTACTACGTGGATGTCATTCGAAGTCAGAAACGGAACAAGAACAAGAGCTACTACTTGGTCCACTTGTATGAGTCTTTGCTTAGTCAGGCCAAATACGTGTTGCCATCTCTGCGTCTACACAATGGGGGGATTTTCTCCACGAACTGGACTGCGTCGAATGAGGGCCTTCCCGAGGGGGGGATGTATAACTATAAAGTCATTTCTCCCCACCGGGATTTGCAGCACGGGGGGGTAGCGGTGCATCTGGGAAGCTCTATACAGGCTAGTACCACTACGTATACTACTACGACTACGGATACTACTACTGCTATTGGTGGTAGCCTTTTAGCCGGTACTCCTATCGGGGTGCCGCCCCCGAATGAACCATTGAGTGAAGGGCAAAATGGGTCTCGAGAGGGACATCCCTACTACGTGCCTTCTTACCAGCAGCCTAGCGGCAATAATGTTACCATGACCCCCTTCGAAGTGAAGAATCCAAGAGGGTTCAGCACAGATCATGTGGGTTCTACTCACCACGGGGCAGTAACGGGAAGAATATCAAACCTATTCAGAAATAACCCTAGTTCGCCACCACACGAAACCGAAGCACTTACGACCAATCAGAATCAATACAACGAGAGGGTTGAAAGTTACTCTCATTTGAGTTTTCCTCCGCCACCGTATAGCGTTGCTACTAACCCAGATCAGTCGAATAATCAACACGATGTCTCTAACACTGGGACGAGCATCACCCCCCATCTTGCAAATGCTCCCTACCCAACAGATCAGGGGAATTCCTTTCTGTCTAGCTACCACCCACCACAAATGGTCGTCTCGGGGGAAGGAGCGGAGTATACCCCTGTGGAAAGGACAATTCCCTATCATCAGTACAATGGTCCGTACCAAAATGAAAGCGCTCAAGTGAGTTACTTCTCCGGGGGGGGGCAATCCATGGCGGAAGGCGCATTAATGAGCGACATGCCTGACGGTAGGAACTCCACTGCGGTGTCTTTCCAGAATATTAGCGGCACGTGTAACGGTGGTTACACTGCGAATTGGGGCGGCGAACACGGGGGCGGCCACAGCGGGGGGGGTAGTACCATCCAGTATGATGGGCGATTGGGCAGCGCCGTGGGCCAGGACAATTACGCCTACTACTACGATGCCAGTTGGAACGTGGTGTACCCAGCCGCGGGATCGTTCACTCATGCCACGCATCAGGTGCAGCACGATCTCCATCACACGGTGCAACAGGTTCCTCATCACCCCGGGCAGCGGGACCCCCACCACGCAGCTCACCCCCCAAGCGGCAATAACTACCCCGCAGGGGGTGGCGTGCCCTATGGAGGTAACGCCAAACCACCTGAACCGTCAGGTAAAAGTGGACCCCCCGAAGTGAGTGACAAAAAAACACACAGCGAAAAAAAAAAGCAAGCGGATGAACAAAATGGAGAAAACAACATGGACTTAATTAACATAGGAAAGACCTTCATTTCAGGATTCTTCTCAAACATAAAGGAGAAAATAAAAATGACAGAACAATCGGAGGATGAAGAGGAAAACGTTTTTTATTATGACTATGAGAAGAAGCGGTGGAGGGAGAAGGGGGTGACGTCGGACGAGGAGGAAGAACGAGAGAGGCGCAAAATGCAGCGCGAAATGGAAATTAAAAATGTCGCCCCACCCCCCCAGACGGAGAACCTTTCGCAGGCAAACAAGAACCCGCTGGACATAAGGGACGTGCGGAGCAGGTACGTCGACTACTTCAACTGAGTAGTGAGGAAAAAGCGGTGGACGCCTTTATGCACAAAACCGCCTCGGCACCCACGTGGTCGTCTTTTTTTTTTTTTTTTTTCGCGACACCTCTCCCGTGTGATCGAACTATAAACTATGCTTTTTGCAAAACGGAACAACAGACCATCTTCCTACTTTGAATATTCCTCTGGGGAGACGACGGGTTGCCTTTCTCTTCCGCGCCCCGTAATCGCCATGGGGATGGTCCAGCGGAACTGGCATTTCGCCCTCGTTCAGAATGACGAATGGTGGAATAACGAAGGGTGGAATGACGAATGGTGGAATGACGAATGGTGGAATGACGAATGGTGGAATGACGAACGGTGGAATGACGAATGCTGGCGGGTTGTACCTACGCGTGTAGACACCATCCCCGACACAATGATATTGTTAAGGCTGTTTTTGCATGCAGCCCTTGGTAAAAAGTAGCGTCTCAAGATAGGTTCTTCTCTGTCCTCCGTTTTAATATATGCTGATTGAACTGATATGCAGATAAATGGTTTGCTCTCCGAGGGGAATGATCTATAATTGATACCCCTGTGTTGCATAACTCCAGTTGGACATGCGCGGTAGACAGCGCGAGAAGGACACGTTACCTGGAGGGGGTACCCATTCGAAAGAGTCCACATGGGAGAACTCCACGTGTATCCACTGGCAGGTAGCTGTCTCGAGTGTGGTAACCTGCGCCGAACCATTGTAACAGGTAGATATTTCCACTTGTTTTTTTTTCCTCTGTTATGATGGTAAAGTAAAACATGTGCTTCTTTATTTGACACTTTGTAGTATATCCCCGCGGCAGACTTTTTTTTTTCATTTGGGTAGTTCATCTGTTCGACAGTTGAAGGCAGGAGAGGAAAAAAGTTTCTGCTTCGATCCAATGTGTGGTGACCCCAAAGAGTGCAGCCGTCAGCCACATTCTAGTGTGCCCACCTGCTGCGCCCTGCACAACCGCGTAAACTGCATGGGGCACGTCTTGATAATTTCACTCCCTCATGCGCGGGGGAAAGTCGTAGATGTGAAGGTGCAGCGAGGAGGCGACCAAGTATCAGTTAAATATCATTATAAAAAAAAAACAAAAAAAGAAAGAAGCTAAATTGTGCCCATCAAACGGGAGTCGCATGATCAACCTCGAATGCCTGTCGTACTTTTTTTTTTTTTTTCCAAATTTACTACCCCTTGTGATGATAAAGAAAAAGAAAAAAAAGCGACGCCAACACAGTTACAGTATATTACAGTATAGTGCAGCTAAAGCAGTTGCGTCCATACCGAACCGCCTAAAGCGAAGGAGGAAAAAGCAAACCCGCACTACGTCACTATACCGGACTACACCTCACTACCCCGCTACCCACTCATGCGTAAACCTGCGGCAACAAAATAAACTGTCACGCGAACGCATGCGGTGAAGGACCAACTGTACGTACAAAGATGCAAACGTGAAGCGGGGACGATAAAGCTGCGCGAGTGCGTTTGTCCACTCTGTGGTAATGGGCTTGCTCTGATTAACTATATCCTTTACACTTGAGTACCCTGATCTGTGGGAAGCGGTAACTCTGCTCTGAAGAATTAACCGCATTGTTTTCTAGGGGCGGCAGAAGCACTGCAGGGCAGCATGGCAGCACGGCAGATGCCAAACCTCTGCGTACACCTAGTTGCATACATTTCACCCGCTTATGGCTGCTCTCTTCTAGCGCCAGCAAAAAAATATGTTCAGTGCTCATCTCTGTTCCGCCACGTGTAAAGTGTATATGTAATTCCATACGACTGGGGAACCACAGAAAAAAGATAAAAAAAAAAAAAAAAGTCACAGGAAAAATATAAAATTACCCGTCATAAAAGCATTTTTCCAATTAGTAAAAAAACAGGGACAGAGAAAGAGCAAAGAAGGAAGCAGTATGAAAGAGGTAGTTTCTTTTTTTTTTTTCTGTTGCCAAGAAAAAATAAGCTATCAATCACGTTAGGGGATATGCTTTTCTCCTGAGCGATATAAAAATATATATAACAACCTCCTAAAAACGCTGCTTCCCTTTTTTTCACTTCCCACTCTGTAATTGCGTCATAGGCGCAACACAGAAAAAAGGGAAGAAACACTCCTCCCCCCACCCAGCCAAGAAAAAAAAAAAAAGAGGTACCAACGAAATGGCGAAGAAAAAGAAACAAATTCATGTGAACATAATTGATCTGCAAAAGTACTACCAGAAAGATGATCTCATAATTGATGCCAAGCTACCTGAACCCAACAGAGCAGACGACAGAAGGAAAAAGATTTTTGAGCAGAATGAGTTTGTTCAGAACATTGAATGGCGGGTTCTAGATGCAGATGGCCAAAATAACAGAGGAAACGATAATTTTAATCGGAGAGATGATAACAGGAATAAGAATGCCCCATTTGATAGAGGCCATGAGAGGAAGGGAGAGTTCTCTCCCCACAGGCGTCAGAGGAGTAAGAATAGGTTTAACGCCCCGGGTGGCTACGAAGACGACGATGCAGACTTCGCCAATATTAGAAACAAGAGAGACGATGACGTAGACTTCGCCAATCTTAGAAGCAAGAGAGACGACGATGCAGATTTCGCCAACGTTAGAAGCAAAAGAGACGATGACGTAGACTTCTCCAACGTTAGAAGCAAAAGAGACGATGACGTGGACTTCGCCAATCTTAGAAACAAAAGAGACGATGACGTAGACTTCGCCAATCTTAGAAACAAAAGAGACGATGACGTAGACTTCTCCAACGTTAGAAGCAAAAGAGACGATGACGTAGACTTCTCCAACGTTAGAAGCAAAAGAGACGATGACGTAGACTTCTCCAACGTTAGAAGCAAAAGAGATGATGACGTAGACTTCGCCAATCTTAGAAACAAAAGAGACGACGATGCAGATTTCGCCAATGCTAGGGGCAGGCGGGACGATGACGACGTGGATTTCGCCAATCTTAGAAACAAAAGAGACGATGACGTCGATTTTGGCAATGTGCGAAACAAAAGGAATGGCGACGTGGACTTCTCCAGTGCTAGGAGCAAGCGGGACGACGACATCGATTTCGCCAATGCTAGGGGCAGGCGGGACGACGACGTTGACTTTGCAAACGTGAGAGCTAAACGGGACGACGACATCGTCTTCGGCAACCGTAGAAGCAAGAGGGACGAAGACGTCGACTTCGCCAACGTGAGAGCCAAACGGGACGACGAAGCGACAAGGGGAAATGCCTCGACCAGCGAGAAGCCATATCACCTTATACGACTACAGGAGCTGAGGAAACGGAAAAAGCTCCAGGAGAACGCCAAGGACAGCCCGATGGCAAGTAGCCCGAACGGGGATATCCATTGTGACTCCCAGGAGGAGAAGAAGAAGCCCGAGGAAAGCGCCAAAACAGAAGACGAGAAGCCTCAGGAAACGGCCAAGACAGAAGCGGAGGAAAAGGCCAAAACTGAGGCGGAGCAGGAGGAAAGGGCAAAGAAGGAAGCTGAAGAAAAGGCAAAGAAGGAAGCTGAAGAGAAGGCAAAGAAGGAGGCTGAAGAGAAGGCAAAGAAGGAGGCTGAAGAGAAGGCAAAGAAGGAGGC